GGGCAGCCATTTATGCTGCGGCGCCCGGGGAGCAGTTGGGGGTTCGGTGCCTTGCTCAAGGGCACCTCAGTCGTGGTATTGAATGTGGGAGAGAGCGCCGTACATTCACTCCCCCCACCTACAATCCCAGCCGGTACGAGACTCATGGGTTATGAGTCCGACTCTCTAACCATTAGGCCACGACTTCCCCCTAACCGAAGATCAAAATGCTACATTACAGAAATGCATTTCTCTACATTAGTTTGAAATGCATCAAACACCATTTACAAGTGAAAAGTTGAGTAATGTCTTGTGAAGTGAAATGTTGTGTGTTTGTAAGAAACAAATCTATTATTAAGACATCCTTCCAAACTTCTAATCTTTGCTCCCGGCTAAAATTATGAGGCCTCCATCCATAATATTGCTTTCTCCAGTGAAAAAGTCATCTTGTCTGAATCAGGAGAGAAATCTGCACAGATCAAACACCATTTACAAGTGAAAATAGTGCACAATTCTAAACAAATATGTTGGTGGGTTTTAATGTGAGAGGACATGCAACTTTTCATTTCACAAAACTATTTGTGAATTGATGGACTGGAGTCATGTGGATTACTGGTTTATTGTGATGTTTTTATCATCTGTTTGAGCTCTCATTTTGACGGCACCCATTCACTGCAGAGGATCCACTGGTGAGAGATCCAAGTGTAATGCTACATTTCTCTAAATTTGTTACGGTGAATAAACAAACTCATCTACATCTTGGATGGTGTAAACTTGGAAAGAGTAAATTTTCTTAAAATTTTCATTTTTGGGTGAACTATTCCTTTAAACTGAGCAAAAATGAATATATTACAGACTATGTAACATACAAATGTGTATGTATATACGTATGAAACAAAAATTGGAATATTTTGAATTTGCTATTGAATTTGAGAAGACAAATGAACCCCAGAGAGAGAGAGAGAGGGAAAAAAAGGAATTTATTCACAGTTCTGTAATTATTTAACACAGGTATACTTGAGTAGACTGATATTACTCATACATTTAAGATCACTGGTGATTTACACTGTTTTTTGCTAGTTGTAATAGATAAGAGTGGTTTGTGGATCACTGACACTGTCATTTCGTTGGCGCTGAGGCTTTTTGTAGCTGATAATGGGTACAGGATCCCCCCTGAAGTGATCCATCAGATCCATGCCACCAATGAAGTTCACAAAGATGATGCCCAGTTTGGCAGGCATGAGACTGCAAGAACAGGTCAAGGTAATATTGTGGTTAAATTAGATCTTGTTCATCGGTTTTGTGCAATATTGAAACTATTGAGATGTATTCAGTTTAATACAATTAATTACGTAACCATTAAATGTTGATTAATAAACTGAATTTAAATCTACATTAACAAGCATTTAGAGGCCTAAAATACCTCTTAAGTGCCACCAAGAAATGTAGACTTGAGGGTAACAGCAAATACATCTTCTCCTGTAGTATTGCATCCACAATTTGTTTCGCTACATATCTCTGATCCAAGATTGGAAGAAAGGATGGTCTCCTTAGCAAAGGTAGAATATCAATGTTACTGCATCACAAAGAGCACAAATTTCTAATGAGTTTTCGTATGGAAACTGTATTGACTTACTTTGTTTGACATCCCCTAAACATTTTGGTATTTATTAGATAAGGACACACTATTGTTGTTTTGATTCCTTCCTTTTTAAGGACAAGCAACTCCAGTGCAACAGATTCTGCAAAGCTCACTGCTGCAGACTTGCTTGCACAATAGTCTGTGGATAAAATGTGTTAGCAATCCTAATCCATATTTAAATTGTATCCTAATTTAATACTGAATTTAGGACATTGCACATTCATGATTTAGTGTTGCACAGTGACAGTGTCTCTGAAATCCCTTTATAAATGTACCTGCAAGGGCGTTCATTGCAAACAACCCTCCATGGCATGCCACACAGACCAGATGCCCATGGTTTCGTTGCAACATAGCTGGGAGAAATGCCTTGTAAGTCTGTGAATGCACATATCAGGATGTTTTTAAGATAACAGTAAGCTCACTGTTCCCATAACATAAAAACAGAGGTATAAGGAATGTACACTGTGAAGAAAACGCTGAATTACTTTTCCTTACCCAGAAATGAGCAGCAACATTGACCCTTAGTGTTCTATCCACCAGATTGTCAGGGGCGTCAACAAAAGTGTATTTGCCTGTTACCATGCCTGCATTGTTCACCAAAATTGACACATCTCCAACCTCCCTTTTAACCTGTCGAAATGTTTTTAGTACATGAAAATGTCTGGAAGGACACCTTCTTACTCACCCCTCATAAAAATGTATATTTGTAATGTAATATAAAATATAGATGTCATTTATATCTGTAGCTCATAGTTGCAGTGCTGGCAATTATTGATTTAATAATTATTTACCAGTTCAGCAACTTTGTAGACCTCACTTCTTCTGCTGCAGTCACAGGTATAGGCATACACACGCACATCCAATACTTGCTTTAATTCTTTGGCTGTCTTGTCCAGTGCATCTGAGTTGATATCCCATAAGACTAATGTTGCTCCATGGTGGCCAAATTCTTTGGCAATCAGCTTTCCAATCCCATTTGCAGCTCCAGTCACCAAGACTATCTCTCCCTCAATATCTTTCTTGCAATGTGGAATAAACAGTCGAACAAAGGCTTCAAAAAAGTAAAAGACCGCTCCAACAATGAGCTCAAAAATTTCTTTTATGAACCAGAGGTTGTGCAGTACCCTCTCAAAGCTCTGAATAACCTGGTTATGCATGTCTCTGGTCTAGTCGGCACAGAAACTAATTTATTCCTCCTTCTGTGTTTTCACATAGCTGTTTTGGTGGTTCTACTCCTTGAACATGTTTCAGTAAGTTTGGATCTCAGGTACAGCTTGTTCCAGTGGTTCTGTATGTGTCAGAGCCCCATCTGTTAGTTTCCAGTCACAATGCTGTTTGTTTGACCTGTCACCTAGAGTACATTAGTGTAGTTAATTTTAGATGTTGCTATTGCAGCATGTGGCCACAGTTTTATGTCATGATGATTTTATTATGAGGAATTATTTGTGTGATTATTAAATGTCTGTATTAAAACTAATGGTGTTATTTGTATGATACTTTATTACGAAAATCAACAACGGCTTTATTTATTTAACGGTTTTTAAAATTTACAACGGTAACCATGTTTTTAATGTTTTAAACATTTTAACATTTTAATGTTGTTGTTTTATGTGTTTTCAGGTTTTTTTTCCAGTTGATAACCAACATGGTTAAACTGTGGTTAGTGTAGCAAAACCATGGTTAATTTGTGGTTAGCATAATAGCCATGCTTTTTTTTGTAGTAGTAATAGTAGTAATTGTAAAACCATGGTTAATTTGTGTAAATCAACACACGCGCGCGCGCGCGTATATGTGTGTGTATACCATAGACTGTATAAAAACAGGTGTATACACAAAAAGAATAAATGTACAACACTATATGGTGACCTGTATATACTACTCTAATAAATAGAGTAGGTTGCTCTTTTGTTAGTTTTGACTGCTTTTATTGTCCTCATTTATAAGTCGCTTTGGATAAAAGCATCTGCTAAATAACAAACTTTTGACCTAGAAAGGGGATGTAGCTCAGTGGTAGAGCGCATGCTTTGCATGTATGAGGCCCCGGGTTCAATCCCCGGCATCTCCACAGGTATTTTTATTATATTAATTGTATTATAGCATTATTAAACACTGTCGTCATGAAGTACTTTTGATCAAAAAATAACATTTTTGAAAAAAGAACTGCAGTAAACTAATTCAAACACGTCTCGTGTCGTTCTACGTAACTACGTCATACGTTCTTAACTTGGCGACGGTAACCAGGGAGAAAGCTATGTTTACCAAGATGTCTGCAGCCTGACAACTATTACCCATAACATAGCTATATAAAGAAATACGTCCGTATAACTCAGCCGAATCTTTTATAAAAGTGAAGCATGCAGCTAAAGTATCTGAAGACTCTTCTAACTCCTCAGGTAAATATTTTCACCACGTTATTTAGCGACGCTAGCTAACTAGCTCTTGGCAGTCCGCTATCTGTAGGCATTATAACGCTTCTTAGTTTAGCAACACTAGGATGCTTAAGTATCTTGCCAGATTTCAGCTTATGCATTTACGTTGTGCAAATAAACAGTAGAAATCACATTTCGAATGTTATTCAAATCTCAGCAAGCGACTCAGACTCTGCACTGGACGTCGTGTTGCCTCTAATGTCTTTTCTTTAGGATGGAGCTGCTAAAGTCACCTGTATGGCTTGGGCTCCTAACAATTCAAAGTTTGCAGTGTGCACTATTGATAGAGTGGTTATACTGTATGATGAGCAAGGAGAGAAACGAGACAGATTTACTACAAAACCTGCTGACCCCAAAGTAAGTTATCAGTGAATTATTGAAATGATATTAAATCTTCAAAATAAATGCTGTGGTCTACCAATGCTACATGTAATTTCTTAGCACATCAAGAAAAGGTATGATTTTGTCATTTGTTGCAGTATGGAAAGAAAACCTATGTGGTCAAGTCCATGGCATTTTCGCCCGATTCAACCAAGATAGCAGTGGCTCAAACAGACAACATTATATTTGTTTACAAAATTGGGGAGGAGTGGTAAGTATCTCAGAATGCTTACATACAAGCATAATTTGCATTATTGTATCATTTTATATTTGTAATATGATGTTTTATGTCACAGGGGAGATAAAAAGTTTATTTGCAACAAATTTATTCAAACAGTAAGTATTTTGACGATAAATATGATACTTCATTAGGCAGTAGTGCCATATATTGTGTGTATTAACTTTTCTTTTTTGTTCTCTAGAGTGCTGTAACATGTCTGGTTTGGCCATCAGAGCATACAATAATATTTGGACTAGCAGAGGGGAAAGTAAGTGTGGCACATTTTCTATGCTTTAAACCTTAAGCTGAATTTTCTATTTTGTGAGTGTTTTTTTTTTTATGTTAAATGCAGGTTCGACAAGCCAATACAAAAACGAGCAAGTCCTCCACGATCTACGGAACGGACTCTTATGTTGTCTCACTAACGACAAAGTATGTATTTAAAATCCTGACTCTATTGATGCTTGCTTCTTTGTCCAAGCACCATTTTCTGGTTTGCTTAGGGTGTTATTTTAGTATTCTTTATATACTATTATAGGATTTATTCTTATTTTGAATTAATTTTTATTTTTATATTTTTATTTTTAGTTTATATTTTTAATTTTAATCGTTGTGTTATGAGCTTTTATCATTTTTATTATTTTTAAAATATTTCTACATTATATTTAGATATATTTATATATAGCTATAATTTATTTTTATTTCAGTATAACACTGTTTATCTCCCTTGGTCCATTTTCCCAGTGTCTCAGGGAAGGGAATCCTCTCGGGTCATGCAGATGGAACGGTTGTTCGGTACTTCTTTGATGATGAAGGATCTGGAGAATCTCAGGTAATGTATTTATGACATGCATATGTTCATTGAAATATTATATTTGCGTGTGCTTAAATGACTGATTATTTCATATGTATTTGTTCTGATGTTGAAAGGGCAAATTGTTGACTCATGCATGCCCACCGTACGCCATGGCATGGGGCACCAACAGCATAATTGTGGCTGGATGCGATAAGAAGATCGTGGCCTATGGAAGGGAGGGCCACGTGCTTCAGACATTTGACTACAGCCGAGATCGCTCCGAAAAGGAATTCACAGTGGCAGCATCTAGCCCCAGTGGCCAGTCCATAGTCGTGGGAAGCTTTGACAGGTGAGAAAGCTGTTTGCACATTAAACAGAAAACAAAAATGTTTTTCCAATGTCGTGAATCGTGATGTATCTCTTATGCTAAATTGTTTTCTCTAGGTTGCGAGTTTTCAACTGGAGTCCCCGAAAAGGCATCTGGGATGTAGCTTCTCCCAAAGAGATTCCAAACCTGTACACCATCACAGCTCTGTCCTGGAAGAAAGACGGCTCTCGGCTTTCTGTGGTCAGTCTGAATGTCCAATTTTATAAAGATTTCAGAACATATTTATTCTGTTCATATACTCAAACCTGTGCACACTATAGAGAAGTTTTCTCTTGGAACACTAATACTGAAAATATCCTGAATCCTGCATTTACACTTCTGCTCATAAGTTTGTCTGCAAGGGAATTTGGTAAGATATAAGTGGGATGACAAAAACAAAAGAAACAATGGTTCAATGATGTTGAGGTTTGGCTTTGCCACTTGGTACAACTGGAGATGAAGTCTAATTACATCTCTAAATTGCAGGGCACACTGTGTGGAGGAGTCGAGTTGTTTGACTGCTGTCTTCGGAGAAGTATTTACAAGAACAAATTTGAGATGACATACGTAGGACTAAGTCAAGTGAGCAATACAATTCAGTCATGACTCTTATTTTGAGTCTTGTTTACATCCTACAAACTGGATGTTCTAAAACTTTGTTTCTTAAACCCTCCCAGGTGATTGTGAAGAATTTGTCCTCTGGGACACGAGTGGTGCTGAAATCTCAGTATGGTTATGAGATAGATGAGGTGAAAGTCATGGGGAAGGATCAATATCTTGTGGCTCACACCTCTGACACACTGCTGCTGGGAGATCTGGTATCCAACAAATTAAGTGAGGTAGGATGTCTAGTTTGGACGTGTTTGATTATTCACAGTTGCTTTATTTCTTATATATAGTTTTGTTAGATCATTTTTTTACCATTCAGCCTGTATTAAAGTCTCTGTTTAGTTAAAACGGTCTGTATTCAAACTGTTTCTGGACAAGTTTTCTCATATTGTAACAGAGTCAATGCCTCCATCGGGTGGACCAAGGTTTAAAATGTCTAATTAAAAGTTCAAGGGCTGTCATGGTTCACTGTGTTAATCCATGTTTAATTGAGTTTCCAAAGTGCTCTTATGGGAGTTGGAAGATAGTTCAGTGTGACAAACAGGATAATGGTGAAGGGCCTTGGCTGCAATGTCTCTCTGCCTCTGCTTCTTTCTGTGTAATGTAGTGGAAAGCAAAAGTTGATGACCGTGTTGTACTTCAATAAACAACATCACTCTCCCATTACAGGTGGCGTGGCAGGGGTCTGGGGGAAATGAAAAGTTTTTCTTTGAAAATGAAACGGTACGGTGTTTTTGTTATATTATTGTGTTATTAAGATGCCTCAGTCATTTATGAGAATGGTGCAAAGGGAAAACGAATGGATTTAATGAATCATGCAGCCCTAGCTGGTATAATTAAAGTAATTGCTGTCTAATTGTAAATTGCTATATTTCTGGGTAGGTGTGCATGATTTTCAACGCTGGAGAGCTGGCACTGGTGGAATACGGAAGCAATGAAATCCTGGGATCTGTTCGGACAGAGTTTATGAACCCACACCTCATCAGGTCTGCCATTTCGGAAACACTTTGGAAAGCAAAAGCCATTTTAAAAGCCAAGGCAAAGTAAATTCAAAATGCTTTACTTTGTTACTACATTTGTTTTTATAATTCTTCTTAAAAAAGTAAAAACCTTTTTTACCTTTGTAATGACTTTCCCTTTTTAAAAATTTATGATATATATATATATTTTTATTCCAACACTTAATGTATCACATAGTTTCATAGTGAACAAAACTTTTGTACAAGAGTTATATTACTCTGTATGATAAAAGTGTTACATTACCCAGAAAAGTCATGTCTAATACTGACCACTAGATGGCGTAATTTACCTTCGATTTCTCAGTTGTCCTGGTACTGTCATTCTGGCTGGCTCTTAGTGAGAAGACCTAGTCATCACAAATCAGCATTCATGTATAAAGCCTGTCAGGTGCTGTCAGAATGCAGTGCTTGGTTCCTCTTGATGGAGCACTGACAGGTCCCTCAGCACCCACAGGAAGTGTTTATTCCTCGGTTCGTGTGTTTGTGTTTGCAGTGTGCGTCTGAATGAGAGAAGGCAGAGGGCAGTGGAGGACAACAGAAAGTTGGCTTACCTGATTGACATAAAAACTATTGCTATCGGTGAGTTACTGCCCAGACAGGGAGGTTATCTATTATTTACTAAAATGGAAAAATAATTTTAATACCATTTTATTTTAAAGTTTTGATTAATCACGTCTTCCCACTCTTATAGCTCAGTTTTGCATGTCCTGTATGAAAAAAAGATGTATTTAGCAAATGCAAAAATGCACTAAATTATATGGAATTATAGTCACATTAGCTCATTGTCATCTGTCATCAACAGCTTAATGAAACAACGTCATCAGTGGTATTGATTACATAATCATCTGTTTCCGCTCTAAATGGCACACCTTCTCCATATGACCCATTATTTGGAGAGAGGATCATTTGAGGGACAGTAGGAAGGTGTGTTAACGTTTGGTTGGTTCGGACGTTACCTTTCAATTAGACACCGGCCCTGCTGTGTCATCGTCACGGCCCTCTCCACCAGTTACCGTCAGCCAACTGCCACGGTTCTGACCACTTCCTTCCCTAATTAAGTCCTGGCATGCTCCCTCTGTCCTGCTTGCCTTGTTTCTTCTTCAGGTGGTGAAAATGAGAAGCAACTTTCATCCAATTTATTTTCATCTGACAGACAGCAGAGTGCTTTTCCCCCTCACTGATCCATGTGCTTAAAACCTGTTCAGAAAGTGCAAATTGGAAAGTGTTTTTCCTCCTTCTCCCCCCCTCGCCCTCCTCCATAAGTGATGCTTCCCATCAGAATGGTTATTTGTGAACAAAGAGCCAGAAATGCAGGGAAGCGTCACAGAACGGGATTCATGAAAGACTCATTGATTTGTTTTTGTTAGGGCACGGATGTTCAGGGTCTGTATGAAAGGCAGTGCCTCCGTTTTTGCTGCGTGTCTTTGTGTACGAGTATGTGACGTTCATGGCAGCCATCTCCAAATTTTTATCATTCTGTTTATTATAGAATTTTGTTTTTTTTTGGATGGAAAGTACTTTATCCGTTCTTTAAAAAACATTGTCTAAAAGCCTCTTAGTGTTTAAAAGTTTTAACGATAATGCTTCATTTCTGACCTTGGATGAACAGAAAATAATCTGCATCTGGTATTTGGTGCATTCATCTCCCATAATCCTTTTCTCTTCCTGTTTTTCTCAGTGGACCTGGTGGGTGGGTATAATCTGGGCACTATAAGCCATGACTCCAAGATAGACTGGCTGGAGCTGAATGAAACGGGGCATAAACTGCTTTTTAGGGACAAGAAACTCAGGGTAAGGGCCAGCGTTGTTATTTAAGCTCTAATATTACTAGTAAAATCAGAATGATTTGTCACTTCAGTCTCTTTCTCTACATTCAGCTCCACCTGTATGACATCGAGAGCAGCCTGAAGAGCACCATGCTGAGTTTCTGTCCTTATGTGCAGTGGGTACCGGGTAGTGATGTAGTTGTGGCCCAGAACAGAGGAAACCTGTGTGTTTGGTACACCATCGACAGCCCGGAGAGGGTCACGATGTTTCCCCTCAAGGTGAGCTGAAGTTAATAGTTATATATTTATTAATAGTTATAAATATTGTGAAATGTTATTACAATTAAAATAACTGTTTTCTATCAACTATATTTTAAAATGGAATTTATTCCATTGATGTCAAAGCTGAATTCTAATATGCTGATTTCTTATTATTATCAATATTGAACTCCGTTGTGTTGCTTAATATTTTTTGTGGAAACGCTAACAATATTTCAGTTTTTTTTTTTTTAGGATACTTTGATGAATAGAAAGTTCAGAGGAACAGCATTTATTTTGTAACATCTTTTGTAACACAATAAATATCTTTCTATCTGTCACTTTTGATTAATTTAAAGCATCCTCCCTAAATAAATATATTAATTTCTTAAAAGAAATCTTACTGACCCAAACTTTTGAATGGTAGCGTAATTATTTACCATTTAATCATTTTTGGTGAATTATTGCAGCCATGATCAACAGAAAAAAGAAAAAAAGTAGTATAATGGACTGCAGAATGCAGATTAATAAGATTTTTCTCCGAAATGCTGTTTAATGAATTTGCACCTTAACCATTTCAGTTTCTTGTTTGAGTCGACTGTGAGTTTAATCATGTGACTTGTGTTGCGACAGGGTGATATTGTAGATCTGGAGAGATCCAATGGAAAAACTGAAGTCATTGTGACTGAAGGGGTTAACTCTGTCTCCTACACTCTGGATGAGGGGTTGATTGAATTTGGTACAGCCATTGATGATGGTGACTATTACAGGTAAAAAAAAAAATAAAAATACCACAGACACCTGCAATAAACATGGATTACACCTTAATAATGCCCTTTTTTTAAGAGCATAAATTTAAACTTGTGTTGCTTAAATTCTGTCACCCACATCCCCATAAAAGAAGATAATTTGAGAAATGTCTCAATGATTCAATGGAATCAGTGGTAACCAACACAGTTTAAATACCAATGGCTTCTTTTATGTTCCACAAAACAGAGAAAGTCATACAGGTTTGAAACGACATGAGGCTGAGTCAACGATGACAGAATTTTTATTTTTGGGTGACCTATCTCTTTAAATTATGTAAGTATCCTTATTCTTAGCTGGATTTGTGTGTATGTGTGTGTGCAGAGCTACAGCATTCCTAGAGACCCTGGAGATGTCGGCAGAGACAGAGGCCATGTGGAAGACTCTGAGTAAACTCTCCCTAGAGGCACAACAGCTCCACATTGCTGAGAGGTTAGACAAGCAAGACAGTCCACCCACCTCTATGACTCAGCTACTGCTGCGATGACTTCAGCATAGCTGTCCAGATCATGTGTCTAACCTTGACGACTAGGAACCAGTATGACAGAATTAAAAAATCTTGCTTCTTTGAATTCCTTTACAGATTATCCCAGAATCATTTTATTTATTTTTTTTAACTTCTTCTATTGAACTTTACAAAGGGTCGTCGTCCTTAGAAGTAACTGAACTGACATAGGGTCATATCATTTAATACTTGGTTACTTGCATTTATAGGGGACAAATTTCTTACATGACGTTAAATTTGTTAAAGGAGCAGCACAGTACACAGCACAATTTTGCAGTGCAGTTGATTATGATTTTTTAAGAGTTAAATACAAATAAATTAAACTTTAATTAAATAATTTCTTTGTTTGTTGGGCCACCTTAATGCAAGAATATTTTATTTGATTGTTTACCAACACCTACCTACCCAAAGACAGCGCAGATGTGTGCGAATAAACATATTAATTACAGCCCTTGTACTGACAATAGAAAAAACACCTTTCACATGATTACATAAATACAATAATCTTACTGTCTTTCTTAACGATTCTTTCATTCTATTAATATCATTGCTGCATTTATTTTTGCACCTTTAGTTTTTTATTTTTATTAGCTCTTAATATGCATCTAATTGGCACTACAGAAGAACTAAACAATTAAATATAAACACATTGAATCAGCACAGTAACAATATCATGGATCACAGTCATATCATGAATATGTAACATTCCTTGATCATTTGAAATGAAAGCATTTACTGTAGGCACACTGTACTCAAAATATCTTGCCCAATAAGTTCAAAAAGAATTATTCAAACTAATCTGTTACAATGTCTCTACCTTTAGTGACTGTGAATTGATATATTAATACATGGCCACCCATATGTAAATGTCATCATTGTGTCAAAAGGTAATCCAAGCTGTTATTGGGCCAGTTAAAAAACATATTTGACTCATTTCACAGGTGAAAATGCTGTTTGCATAAAAATATTAACCGACTAGTTCACCCAAAAATGAAAATGTACTCACCCTCAGGCCATCAAAGATGTAGACAAGTTTGTTTCTTCTTTGAATGAGATTTGGAAAAAATTAGCATTACATTACTTGCACACCAATGGATCTGCAGTGAATGGGTCAGAAAGGGTGGGCATGTAAAATTGTTTTTGGTGGGGAAAAAAAGTATCTATAAAAAAACCCCGAATAGCATTATAAATTGACCTCAGAGAATAAAAATGAAAATGTATGATGCATCTTCTTTAATATATTCTGAATTGTTCTATAGGAAAAGACCCCAGAACTGTCTTTAAAACAGTAATATTTCCATTTAAGGAAAGAATCACTATTCCTCACTAAAGATCCTTTAAGAAAGCTGCTATTCTGCACAGTTGCTCTGTGTGTTACATTTTAAATGCTGAAATGTGTCTCTGATAATATTCTGCCTAAAGAAAAATGTGTGTAATCTGTTGCAAAAGAGAAAAAACCCTTCACCTGATCTTGTGCGGAAGGGTAAAAGCTTTAGCACTAAGCACCAAAGGTTCTCTTAAAAAGGCATCCAGTCACTTCAGGAGGCAGTGAGGATGTTTAGAGTTTTCTTTTTACTGTATAAGCATTTTTAAGAGGGCTCGAAGCTGGAATTTAAATTAGAGGGTCTTTAATAATGCAGGATTGGTTTGTTATATATAGGCTTATCTGCATGAAGCATACAGATAAAAAGTGGTCTGACCATGAAGGAGAATGCAAATGAAAGAATTGACTGAATACTCTTTTGCTTGAAGTCACTTTTAGACATGTGATCATGGCTGATCAGTGCTGTCCAACCTAAATGCCCTGAGTTTATTGCAGAATTGGTGGTTGAATGTGAAATGATACTGCATGTGATGTTGGTATTTGGTCGTTATTTACGGTTTCTCTTCTGAGGTGGTGTTGGGTTTTTCCGCAGGTGTTTTGCAGCCCTTGGAGATGTGTCCAAAGCCCGATTCCTAAATGAGACCAACAAAATTGCAGATTCAGTCTCAAAGGAATATGTACGTAGTGCATACAATTTTTTTGAAGGACAGACAGGTCCTCAGCCTGTAGCATCTCTAATATTTTGTCTGTTCATTTGTAGAATGTACGTTTTTTGTTGTTGTTGTTTGCTTATGTATTGTACATTTCAATGTTATATTCTCTCCTGTAGGGTGGTGATGGTACAGACCACTACCAGGTAAAAGCACGACTGGCCATGCTGGATAAGAACTTTAAGCTTGCAGAGATGTATTACATGGAACAGGTAAAGAATAGTTTCTGATACTTGCAAGTAGGAGTGCCACTTAAAAATACAATTGCCAGTGTATTAAATTCAAATGAAAATAAACAAAACCCTTTTTAAATTAACAAATGAACAAACATGCTTTTGAACTGTTTATTTAATTCATGTTAAAAAATTAAATAAATGTTACATTTAACAATAAATTAAGTTAAAACTAATAATTAAAAAAATAAATGATCAAATAATAATTAAAATGACTAAATTAATAATTATTAATGTTAAAATTGATCTCTAAAAAAGTATTTGCCACTGCTTTTCTTTATCCATTTGCCAATTGAGTTCAAAAATGGCATTGGACAGTTCATACGTGGGAGCAACAGAGCTGAGATGGTTATATCTCGATAGCTGCGAGTAATATTGCTGTAACTCTGCAGAATGCGGTGGATGAAGTGATGGAAATGTACCAGGAGCTTCACATGTGGGATGAATGTATTGCAGTGGCAGAGGCGAAGGTAATATCTGTTTTTTTACATACAATATCATAAATATTCATAACCTCTAGTCCACATGTTTTGTTTTATTTAGCCTAAAACAGGGGTTCTCAACAAGTTTCACTCAGATACATTAGAACTCAAGTAGTCATCCAACATGGAACCAGAATTGATTACTGTACACAAGTAAACAAAATGTCCTTAAAGTAAAACGTTGTGATTTATTACTCTGTTACCATTTCAATATTACCATGAACTGCAACAGTATACAAAATCATTGAGTGTCTGGATTCTGAATGTCTCTTGAATTTTGATGGTTTCACGCTGTCAGCAGTCAATAATTCACACCATAAAACATGTTATAGACAGCACAAACCATGTTTATTTTCATTTTGAGTGATTCCATCATTTCAGTCATATTTTCAATGTGTAGTTTTGTTCATGTTTTTTTTTGAGGATGAAGGCATATCACAAAATGTATCCATATTTCCACAATATTTTCTAATCCCGTATAAAAGTCAATAAGCCTTTTTATGTTGCTATGTTAACTATGCACAATTATATGGTGGTTAGTTGCATTTTATATTATTTGCATTTAGCAGCTGTCTCTATGATGCTGCACAATCAGCTTTTTACTAATATTCAATGTGTATATCCCTTGAAGGGTCACCCAGAGTTGGACAATTTGAGACGCAGTTACTATTCTTACCTAATGGAGACCAATCAGAATGAGAAAGCCGGTGAGGTGAAGGAGAATGAAGGAGACTTCACTGGTGCTGTTAACCTCTACCTGAAAGCAGGACTTCCTGCCAAAGCTGCTTGGCTGGCCCTGAGCAGAGACGAGCTTTTATCAAGCCATGACATCATCAGCCGCATCACTGCTGCACTCATTAAAGGAGAGTTTTATGAGAGGGTGAGTTTGACCTGCAACAACGTTGTTTCATGCATTCATAACTTTCAAATGAGTAGCACAACCACTCACACTGACATGGTATTGTTTCACAGATTTGAAGGGAAATTGTTTTACTTCTAATTATTCATAATTCTAAGTATTATTAAACTCAACAGGCAGGCGACCTGTTTGAAAGGACAAGAAATAATGAGAAGGCCTTGGAGTGCTACCGCAAGGGAAATGCTTTTAAGAAAGGTGAGCCTAGCTGGTAAGAACAATCAGAATAGGGTGTCACATTTCAATTCGAACAATAAGTAAGTGGTTGTAATGCAAAGCATCAGAGCTTTAGATTCATTGCCTTCATTGACCTCTGCTGATTGCATTGTGCTTCTACAGCAGTGGATTTGGCTCGCGTTGCGTTTCCTGCAGAAGTTGTAAAGCTGGAGGAAGTGTGGGGTGACTATCTAGTGCAGCAGAAACAAATGGATGCTGCCATCAACCATTACATAGAAGCAGGGTGAGTTTCTAGAATAACAAACCTCTATAGATCAGGGCAAAAAAAGACATTTTCAATCTCAGTTTTCTTCAGCTTCATTTAAATGGTGCATTTACACCACCATTTATTTATTTAAATTAATACTTCTATTCAGCAAGGATGCATTCAATTATTCAAAAGTGACAGCAAAGACATCTAAAAGGTTACAAAATATCATGGTGCATCATGAAGCACCTTTATTTTTAAGAGTGTATGTCATTTCCTCCCTGTAAAAGATGTTCCACCAAGGCCATAGAGGCAGCAATCGCAGCACGCCAGTGGAAGAAAGCATTGCACATACTGGAGCTACAGGAGGACAAGACTGCTGCCAAATATTACCTGAAAATAGCTCAGCACTATGCTTCTGTGCAGGAGTTTGAGGTAAAAAAAAAACGAATTCCAGCTGTCAAATATTAACAAATGGTCTCGCATTTAAAAAAAACATGATCTGGTTTGAATCTGTGTTGGCTAATTATATTTCTCTGAACTACAGGTGGCAGAACGTCTGTTTGTGAAGGGTGATCATACCAAAGATGCTATAGATATGTACACTCAGGCTGGGCGATGGGAGCAAGCTCATAAGGTCAGTGTCACATTGGGCCCCTCTGCAAAGATATTGATAAAGTATACATTCATTAATAATAGCTGTATATTTTAGTGTCAATATTTTTGTTTATGATTAAATGCCTTAGATCCCATAGATTTACATGGGAAGAGAAAACTGAGACTTGTATAAAACTTGAGGTGACCTCTTTTGACCTAGCAACCACCAAGAACACTCTTGCAATTGCATAGCAACATGCTAACAAATCAGTGTGTAGTAGTAATTATAAATTGGATGGAAGCTGAGAATACAACTGCAATTGTTTTTTCTTCTTCATTCAAATAATGAACAATTTACATTTTAATTATTACTAATCATCACCAATTTACATTTGAATTATGTATCTTTTTGTTCCCCTCTCTTGTTATCTATCTGTCCGTCTCTGACACAGCTTGCTGTGAAGTGCATGTCACAAGAGGATGTGTCTACCCTCTACATCAGCAGAGCACAAGAGTTAGAGAAAGAGGGGAAGTACAAAGAAGCTGAAAGGTAAAAACATACACATATAAACACTGTTGTTTTTCGAATTTGACCTATGTTTTTGGCTGGGTTAATTTATAATAAGAAATTATTTTATTTTTTAAAAAGACAGTTTTTAACTCTGAAAAGAATGTCAACATGTTTGAGATTTCAGTCACATTTCATACTGGAATTCACACATTTGAAATTTACCTCTCTGTCTTTAGGCTTTTTACCACAGTAGATGAACCAGACTTGGCCATCACTATGTACAAGAAGAACAAAATGTTTGACGACATGATCCGTTTAGTCGCTGTTCATCACAAAGACCTGCTGCAGGAAACGCGCATTCACCTGGCTAAGGTTCAAGAGTACATTTGTTCTATTCTTTTATTCTTTCTATTCACATTTAGTTACAAAACACATTTGACCCAAATCTCTTTTGGTGCGGTTTTGTCTTATTATTGCTCAGTAGATCCTTCACATGGTCTTAGTGCTGTGTGCTGTGTTTATCACAGGAGCTAGAGGGTGAATCCAGGTTTCAGGAAGCGGAGTATCATTACCTAGAGGGTCAGGACTGGAAAGCTGCCGTAAACATGTACAGAGTCAATGATATGTGGGAGGAAGCTTATCGGGTGTGTGTGCACACTACATAGTCTTATATGATACTAGAGTTGATATAATGTAGAAAGTAGAGAGCTTTAAACATTCAAAGGTTCTCTTCATGTCTTTGCAACAGATAGCAAAGACCCATGGAGGAGCCAGTGCCCATAAGCAAGTGGCCTATCTGTGGGCAAAAAATCTCGGAGGAGAGGCGGCTGTTAAGCTGCTCAACAAGTTTGGCTTTCTGGAAACCGCCATTGACTTTGCTGCCGATAACTAGTAAGTCTCTGTTAGGACTTAATGTTCCAAACACTATTATACCATTTTCAGGTATAATTGGTGCATACAGATAACAATTAACCAATGCATAGTAAAATTGGCTTTTATTTACTTTTATTTTTATGAAACACTCTTTGTCTTTTTTAGTGCATTTGACTTTGCCTTTGAGTTGGCCCGACTCGCCATGAAACAGAAGATTCCTGATATTCATCTCAAAAATGCCATGTTCCTCGAGGACCAGGTATTACAGACTGGGGAGAAATTATTCCTCTTTTCTACACTGTTACTGCCTGTGACTCCAGCCAAATGCGGGTGTGAATGTGAAATAGACAAAGACAACTACAGTGGTCCACTTTCAAGGTCAGGGCTGTGAATGCTTTTAATTTTTCATGTCTGATTTGGTCTTTTATAATGCAGATTCCAGTGTGAAGATTGAATGTTTATGGCTTTATAAGTTTTTTTTTTCTGTAGGCTTATTTGAATTAATATAATAAATGTAAATAAAAATATAAATTATAAATATAATAATATATTTATCAATATAATAATATAAAATAACAAATAAAAAAATGCTGGTAAAAATGTCAATCACACCACTCTATAGGGGGGATTGCATCGCTTCAGTACTTTTTTGTGTGCATAGAGTACTGATTTTATGCACTTTATCACATTACAAGCAATGAGTAACTGGAAGCAGGTGGCATTGGGATTGAGAGTGTTTGATTTGTAGATCTCATGGAGGAGTGGTATGCTGGTGCTTTGCTGCTACAGTGGCAGTGAGCCAAAGATGATCTGATGACTCCAAGAAATCATATTGTTAATGATCTAAAAAGTCATTTTTTTTCTTTTAAGTATAATTATAATTACAAAAATGACTGAACTTTATGCTTAAAAAAACAATTTTTTTAAAATTAAAATGAAATTTAAAAAAAAAAAAAGTAAGAAAAAGAAACTAAAAAACTATGGACAAAAATACTCGTAACTGAGCTTTGCAGTGATGAAAAAGGGAATTGGTAAATTATTTCATGGCTATTTATAAAAGACATTATTAAAAGCATGTCTAACAGACATTTCTTGTTGGATGACGGACCATCACCATCACCTTCCAGCCACTTCTATCAAACCTCTACAATTAATCCAAAATGCCGCTGCAAGATTAATCTTTAATGAGCCGAAAAGA